GAAAGAGTTGCACTTTCTTCTCCACGTATTGGCAAATTCCCATAATTTGGGGTTTTCACGTCGAAGGTTGAGTGGCCCAAAGTGCTGAACTATTTAAAAGAACGGTTGTTTTCATGTATATAATTAGTACTTTGCAGTCAACAACCCATGTGAACATCAAATAATAATTTATTTGCTTACATGATTTTGTACTAGTTCTTTAATATATATATATATAAAGTCGTTTTATTTTATTTTTAATTTTAAAATTTGTCCTTATATATATATATATAACTAATGTTTTATTAACATCTCTTTCGTTAGATTCGGTTTGTTTTGCGAGGTTAAAATAAAAAGTTATGGAGATTAAAGAGAAAAGGAGAAAATTATATAGTAACTAAAAAAAAGTAAGAGAATTAAAATGAAAATAATCAAAAATTAAAAGAATCAAAATAAAAAATTATATTATAGGACTAAGTATTTATTTAAATCAAGTTTATAAAAATTAAACTTGCAAACACTATAAATGTATAGGTTGGAAGTAGAAAAATTGAACCAACAACTAAGGGTGAAAATATTTATTATTATTTTTACCCTAACAGTAGATTTTATTATATATATTTTCTTTTCTTCTAGTCATAAGATAGATTTTTATTATTTTAACTCTATTTTACATAAGATAGGGTTCTTTTATTTTTACCTTATTATTATTATTATATAAAAGACATTGAAAGATAAGTATTTTATTTTTATTTTAAGAAAATTATATTGTACTTTTTATTTTAACTATTATGCTATTTACAATATTTATTTTATTATTAATTCAAAATTATGCTTCAAGATATTGATATTGATTAATGATAAGTTTAATTTTATTACTTTTAAATATTTTTATATTACATTGTTTATTTTAGAAATTATATTATTTATTATTTTAATTTTAAAATTATACTCAACATGTTTTAACCTTTATATTAATTAATATGATGAAAGAATAATGTCTATTTATCATTTTGACTTTATTTTAAACATCATTAAAATATTTTAAAAAATGTATAATATAAGATAAATAGTATAATATACAATATGAAAAATATATAATTGAAATTAAAAATATAATTAAAATATTTTATCTATAAATAAAAGTTAGAACAGTTTAAAATTAATTAAAAAATAAAATCATAAATACCAATAAATATACTTTATCAATAGAATTAATTAAATTAAAATTTATATAAATTATGATATAAATACTCCATTTATTAAGAACTTATGTTAATGACCTTTGATTTAAACAATACATACAAATTTTGATCCTCACACTCTCTTTCAACATTCTCTATTGTTTTATAAAATTTATTAGAAATCATAAAATTTGATAGATTATCAATAAATCTGAAAAGAAACTCATTAAATATGATGTGACTCGTTAAGATTTGTGTCTTCAATAAATTTTAGTTAATAATAAAAAAAAAATATTAGAATTAAAGTATTAAGATAATATTACTAATATTTCTTATTTTACCATATACTTATAATTCAATAATGATCAAGCTTAATATAACTTTCGACTACTAACTTTCAACCATTAGTTAGTTTTTAAACTTTCAATAATGTTTTAATTTTTAACTAATTTCTTAACTACTTATACCAAACATAATCTTAGTTAATTGAGTGATTAACTCTTAAACCAAAGGTGGTACTTACATCTCTCTTTAGTTTCATGACTTCTAAATTAACTAGATGTATCATCCATAAAAAAAATACAAAAATCTTTTTCGGATACGAAATAAGTCACAAAACTCTCTCCAAATTTAAAACTCTAATAATTAGTACTACTACATATAATAATAAATACATTGTCCTTTAGTTATTTATTAAATCACAATAACTAATGTTCTAAGTGCAATATTATGTAATATCTTTTAAATGCACATTTCTTGGGACCAAATAAATGTACATTAATGTGAGGATTAAATGGGGACTTACGTCATACACATACAATAAATGGGCATTAAGTTTGAATTTGTTTCATATACACTAGTGGCCTTCGTATATAAATATACTTTTTACTTTATATACACTAAAAAACTTATCATATATAATGACGTATATCATATATGACACTATATTTATTATTAAAAATTATTTTTACTTATATTATAAATATAGAGGAGGGATTTTTTTACTTCAAGAGTAAGTATATATAAACTTATTCCGTTCAATAACTCATGTTCTACATCAAATTTCAACGATCCAACCGTTCAATTTAAAGTTCTTAATGCATAGATTAAATCTGCAAATTTCTAGAAAATTTGAAATTATTTGATACTTCGTTTCATTAATTCGAATCAATGTATAAAATGATTTTATGATTATCCGTCAATTTGAATTAATAAAATAAAGTATCAAACAATTTTCAATCTTTCTAAAAATTTACAGATTTGATGTATGCATTAAGAACTTTAAATTGAATGGTTGAATTGTTGAAATTTAATGTAGAATATGGGTTATTGAACGGAATAAGTCTAGGTAGACTTGCTCCTGGAATAAAAGGATCTCTCTTCATAAATATAAGTTAATATATTGTTAAAAAGTGTATGTATAATAATAATACATAATATATATTATTAAATTTTATTAAAATTAATACTAAAATTATATATAATTACATATTAAATTAATCTAATATATATTATATTTATAATAACACTTTTTATATATCAAACATTTGTAGGGTTGCATTTAAATATATATATACTTACACGTCATATAATACATTGTCCATTATATGTGTGTCGTGTGACTGTATGTGTTTCATATCAAACATAATATTGTTAAATGTAATTATAAACTTCGAAAGTTTATCATAAAAATTATTTTACAATGATAGCCAGCCACCTATTGCTGACAAGCCCAACAATGACCCGACAAAGAAAGTCAAACCAGAACTCAGAATGAGAGGCCCAAACAAGCCATCAGACAAACAAACTGGATGAATGATCTTGAAATGTGGAAAGCTTACTGGTAAGCATAGTTTTAAAAACCGGACCGGTCATCGAACCGGTTAAGGTACTGGGTCAATAGGTCAAAGGTTGAACCGGTGGGTCACTAGTTGAACCGCATGACTCGATTTTTATTAAAAAATATTTATATTAAATATATTTTATACTTATAAATTTTAATAAATCCATATCTTATTTTAAATTTCAATTTTTCTATCTTATTTAAAATTATTTTTATTTTTATTTTGTAAAAAAATACATTAAAAAAATTACATGTTAAACGGTATATTAATACAAATTAAAAATATAAATAATATGTACATATATAATATGCTTGCAATTAATATCACAAAATAATATATGTAATATTTACATAGATATTGCATTATTAAATATATAATTTAAAATTAATAATATACTATAAAAGTTATTTAAGTTGTATATATTGCAAACAAATATATTAGAACAAGTAGTCATTGTTATATTTAATAAGACTCCTTGCTTTTTCATTAAGAGATTCAATTTTCATTATTATTTTTGTGATTTATAGTCCCTTAAAATTTTTTTAAAAAAATAAGAAAAAAAAGTGGTTGAACCGGTTTGACCCACCGGTTCACCGGTTGAACCGGAAAATTGACCGGTTCAATCCGGTTTGAAACGGATCGACTGCATAACCGATCCAACTTCAGATTCGAACCGGCTGGACCACCGGTTCCCGGTCCAACCGGTCCGACCGGCCGGGTCGGTCCGAGTTTTAAAACACTGCTGGTATGGCACTGAATTTTGTGGATTTAAAGTGTTGTGTTTGGTTAAGTGGTATATATATGAATGAACCATAATT